AGCTTTTTTTACTCGAATCTTCACACTTTGATATTTTACTAATACTTTATGTATTACGTGCAATTATTAATTCTCGTACACATAACAACGTAACAAAAACTTATCAACGCCCATTCTTGCGGTGGAAATTGATTCTTCGGTTCTAAATTTCTTGTAAACAATTTGTTCAGTTCGCTAAGTAAACATGCAAGCGTGTACCATCGATGGTACACGTGGCACGGAACGTGTTAATTAGAACACTATTTACGCGGTGTACTTTTTTGTTATCCACGATCCGAATTTACGCGGCCAGTAAATCTGTGCAAAGCTCTCGAATTAGCCAAAAGATTGGGAAGTGCGATTATAGGAAATGAAGACTTAGTAAAAAGAAATATCGAGAAAGATCATACGAAAAAATGTCGCAATGCCGACTAAAAAGAAAAGGTTGATTCTTTTAAATTGCAGCAGCGATAGTGACACCGAATGTAATTTACTTTTGTTTTCTGGAGTGTCATACTTATTTATTTGTCACAAGCTGTGCGAATGAAATACGCATCCTTAAACTAGCTTTTCTTCCCGATATTGTTTCTTTCGTACTTGCGGACAGATTTTTTACGCGATTTTCATTCGCATTAAACAAATCCACGTGGAACGGAAGTTCGCGTAAATTGAATTCAGCGTTTCTTGGACAAGGAAGATCACGACAAACAAATTATATTGGACTTTTTGTACCATGGTTTGCATTCAACTTATAATAATTAAATGTCATGCGGTGTGTCAAGTATTAGTAGATGTATTGGTCACGTTAATAACGTAAGTCTTACTTTAACCCGTAGCACTCGAATGTAGCGACGCTAAAAATTGCTACACTGTTTTCAAAAGAATCTTCGCATTATTAAATTTATCTGTATTCGATAAATTAATAGATAATAGAAGTGTTCTATAATCGTACACGTTCAATTTCATATGTATCAAACAAAAACAATCTTAACAAGTGTAAATACTGTAGGTTGAAACGAATGTCTTCATTTTGGAGTTAAAATAGTCTCGTGTGCAAAGGGTTAACACGTTCCGTGCCACGTGTACCATCGATGGTACACGCTTGCATGTTTACTTAGTGAACTGAACAAATTGTTTACAAGAAATTTAGAACCGAAGAATCAATTTCCACCGCAAGAATGGGCGTTGATAAGTTTTTGTTACGTTGTTATGTGTACGAGAATTAATAATTGCACGTAATACATCAAGTTTTAGTAAAATATCAAAGTGTGAAGATTCGAGTAAAAAAAGCTCGGCACGGAACGTGTTAATAGTGGAAACCATATCCTGTTCTCGTGATTGTAACATGACTAAAATTGTTAATTCCTTAAATGGTGGAGTCAATTTTTATCTATTTTTCATTCGTTAAATTTTTCGAAATGTAACGATTAAATTGCTTCAGTAGGGTAAAGTGACTTCAACGAACGATCAAGCGTTTTTATTAATAATAGCGTGTAATTGGAAACCCGAGAGAAGCGGAAAGATTGAAAGTCAATTGAAGTCTGATACATTCGCCGGTGTAAATGTTGGTACGTTAATTCTCGTTTTGTTTTTATACTGTTACGTACGCGATCCAGCAAACGTCTGATAAGACCGTTCCACTGCTTCGTTTCCTTAACGTATGCACCGTAGTTCCCGTCCGGTACTAATTCAAATTCGTATTTAAAATTCAACAGCTTGGCGATCTCCTCGATCAGATCGATACAGAAGCCTTCGTAACGGGTTTGATCGATCAGAATGCCTCGAGTTGCGCTGTCCGTAACTTTCATTACATACGGTGGACCCTAATGAATTTTGTTAAATCATTTCACTGTATATATATATACAACATTTATGATCATTTGCAAAACATTACAAAAGTATTGACAGATCGATAACTTACTTTCAAAATGAATACTGCGAATTCATCGAAATTTTGAATCGTTAAGTAGACGCGTAGTCAGGAAAGTGGCAATTTAGTAAAAACTCAATGAAGGGAAAGAATTATTTGAATAATATTTTATGATCATAAAATTTATGATAGAAAGAAGAGAATTTGTAGTTTGATTGCAATCGCTATAAATTGTTGTGCGAAACGTTACAAATCTGTCTCGCATATTTGAAATCAACTATTTCTAGGAATATAGGTACAGTAAATTTTCTCTATTTGACCCTCAGCTTTGAAACAAAAATGGACAATTTGGGAAAAGGTAGTACGATTATTCGAGCCTTGCGGCTCGTTTTTATGGTTCTCGACAATCGGTGACTCTAAAGACGAGCCGCAAGCTCGAATGATCGTATCCCCTCTTCCCAAATTGTCCATTTACGTTTCAAGGCCGAGGGTCAGTTAGGGAGAATTCACTGTGATTCGTACATACTACTGTGATCAAAAAGTAAGGTGAATTTGTTTATAAAATGTAAATTCTTTATTTATACTTCCAAATCAATTTCGTCCCCTTAAAAGTAATCCCCGTCCGATAAAACGCACTGTTTCCGACGCTTTTTCCAGTCCTCGAAACAGTCGGAATAGTCTTTTTCCGGTATAGCCTTCAAGATTCGGTTTTTATCTCCTCAATCGTGTCAAAACGGCGTCCCCGCA